TCATGTCGTGCACCTGGTAAGACATCTCCTGGTCCTCTCTGTCTGAAAATCTAAGTGAATAAAAAAAGGGATTGATCATTAGTCATAACTCTAAATTAATCTTGTGATTTTTGGGTTCTATTGATGGATATTTCTGTGTCTGGCTTTTCAAGATGCTATGTGGTTTGTGGGAAAAAAAGCTGTTCCAACTTTGGCAGTCTTGTGGTATTTGTCTGTTTTTATGTCCCCTTGGAAATGCTGTGGCTTGATCATAATGTTGTCACTGGAGATCAATATTGTATTTGCTCATGGCCGATAGATATGCTCAGTGCCACCCTACCCGGCTTTCAGGTTTGTGAACAGCCTTGTCTACTATGGGCTGAGTCTGAACGTGACAAATTTTGGTCTGGACATCTACCTGACACAGCTTGCCTTTGGAGCGGTGGAAATCCCAGCCCGTGTTGGTTGTATCTTCATGCTGCAGTGGTTTGGGAGGAAGAAAACCCAGGCTGTTCTCCTGCTGCTGAGTGGCCTGGTGTGTCTGATCATCACTGGCATCCCTGAAGGTGAACCACCTCTTCCCATCCTGAGAGGACAACCTTTGGGACAGGGAGGCATGGAGTCTCAACCCTTCCCTTGCTGGTGCAGGTCATGTCGTCCCAACCAGGCTGGCTCACATCTCTCAAGGATTGAGCTGACCCTGGTGCTGTGGCCACAAGGGACTTAGCTCCCCAAAGCCCACTCTGATCACCAAACCTTTGCCTGCTGATTGTGATAGGAGAGGGTAGAGCTGAGCCAGGGAGGCCATCTATTAGCAGAGTCATCTAGGAAAATTAATGTGTGGGGAGGTGAAATGGTGGATGCAAAGGATGCTGAAGGTAGCCCCCAGGCCAGCGCTGCTCCTCGTTCCATGCTGATGGCTCCCTACTGGCGACACAGTTGTCGCTATGCATCCCCAGCCTCCATCCCTGAGCACTGCTGGGCCCTCCCTCATCCCACAATGGTGGTCTCTCCTCCTCCCCTCAGATCAGCCTGTGGTGACCACTGTCCTGGCCATCATCGGCAAGTTTACTGCCTCTGCCTCCTTCTCCACCTCCTATGTCTACTCTGCAGAGCTCTTCCCCACAGTTGTCAGGTGAGGTCTCCCCATGCATCAGAGCTTCCCTCTGCCACAGCTGGTGACAGTGGTGGGGCAAAAGCCCACTTGTCCCCATGGCTACGCTTGGTCCCACGGTGGCCCAGGGCATGCTGAGCCCTGCCCATGCCTCCAACTGCCCCTCGCTTCCCCAGGCAGACCGGCGTGGGGCTGTGCTCGATGTCAGCACGGGTGGCAGGGATCATTGCCCCACTGATCCGCCTCCTGGGCCAGTACCACCGGGCCATCCCCATGGCCATCTTTGGGAGTGCCCCCGTGGTGGGGGGGCTGCTCTGCTTCCTGCTGCCTGAGACCCGCGGCACCGACCTGGTGGACGACATGGGGAGTGGCCGCCCCCCAGATGAGGTGGGTGCCGGGCAGTTGCATCCTGGCGTGTGCCCATGTGGCATCCTGGCCATGGGGACCACCGACTCTCTTGGGCAGGGACATGGTGTGCCAGCACTGTGGGAGGCTGTCAGCATTGCATGGGCTGGGGCTGGGGGTGTCTTTGAGGGCTTACAGTTGCAGGAGGGCAGGCGGCAGGTCTGCTGAGGGAGGGGAGGAGACCTCATAACCCTGCCCATGGTGGTCATCCCTTCATTCCTGTCCTTGGAATGGAAGGACTTCAGGAGTGGCTGACACTTTGCTTGGCTCCCCAGGCCCTCCCCAGGGAAGGGCCAATGCCTTGTAGCCATGTCCTCTGGCTTTTGGCCTTTCCTAGCTCCCAACCCCTGTTCCCTGTGGGACCAGGTGGAATTGCACCCTGATACTTTTGTCATCCTGCTGGGAGAAGGGTGTCCACAGGGGCCCTGAGAGCAAGTGGTGAACGGGGAGTCAGGTTGCTGAAGGCTGGATGTCTCAGAGAAGGCTGCCATCTGCTTATAACGGGTCTTTCTTTTCTTTTAAACTCTTTTCCCTTTCATTAGGTCTGTGAAAATGCCAACAGCAGCTCTGAAAATGGACACGTGAAAGGAAAAGATGGTGGTCAAGACAATGAGTACACAAAGACCACTCACTTCTAGCAGGGCCTCAAGCAGCTGTAGCTAAAGGCAACCTCGTGCTGTGCTGGCACTGAGGCCAGGCAGGGTCTCCATTTGCAGGACACCACCACCTCTCAAGAAGTCACTGCCAATTCTTATTTTTCCTTTTCTTTTTTGCCTTCCTGTATCTCCCTCTATAGCTTGTCTTCAGCCACTGCATGCTGTCTCTGGTGTTCAACAGTGCTCTCGCTGGAAAAAATCTGATGCTTTTCATTTAAGGGAAAAAAGAAAGAAATCAGAAACCAGGAAACATTTCCTTTTCCTTTTTCCTGTCCTGTCTCCAGGACTGTGAGATTGTAAACTTTGTCCAAGTGAGACACTTGTTAGAGCATTGAATAGACTTGCAATGGAGTACTGTGCTCACTAAAAAGTAAGCCAGGGCAGATGCAGCACTGAAAACAATCTCACACTTGCAAGAAAGAGTGATTTCTCTTGACTGTCTAGCATGATCTTCTCACCCTCTCCAAAACACTCCTTTTTTTTTTTTTTTTTTTTAAATTTGAGACACTCAGCTGAGAAAAAAAAGATGTGATGGAAGAAACAGCAAGCAATGAGCAAGGATGTCTAACAGGCAGCAGAATTTTTGCCTTAGTGCTGGTGGCTTTGAATTAAAACATGCCATGATGCTTTGTGCACAGAAAATTGTGCTGTCAGGCTGTGTTGTAGGACTACATTAATTTGTCTGTTCCAGGAAACTGAAAGACGTTGTGGCAGTTGGTATCTTAGAAGAAAGTGCAAATCTTTCTGGGAACTATAAGGTCTATTCTACTCTGTTCTAGTCTATTCCTTCTGTCCATTTCTGTCTTTAAATGGTTTAGGGCCACTTTTGTCTTGTATTATGAAGAAAAAAAGCTTTTCCTGTGCTTCCCCTTGTCTTATCTTCTGTCCCTCAAGATGACTTTGTTTTACCACTGGCTTGGTACAGATGAAGCCCAGAAATTATACAGTGGTCGTGCTCCAGCTTTGTATACAACTCAAAGGCTATTTTCTGGTACTGTCAAGAAGCTTTTAAAGCAGATGTTATTTCTTCTCCCTGTTGTCATGCCTGCGTGTTTTCCATGGGTTAAAGTGGAAGAGGGCCTGCCTGTGGTGCCATCTTCTCTCTGGCACTGCTTTTCAAAGGGTTTGCTGTGGTGCTCCTGTTCAATGATCCTGAGTACAGAGGAGCTCAGTCCTTTGCCCAAGAGCTGGGGACTTCCTCCTTTGGGCTTTTATGGAAAATAAGGCATTGAGGGTAAAGGCTGAGGGAAGACTTTGGAGCAAAATGCAGTTATTAGTGAACAGGGCTCCTTTTGGGAATTCTGCTCTGAGATTCTCTGTTTCAACTCACTTCATAAATAAAGGCGTCTAAGCACATATGATGTACTTCTGCTTCCATCTCATTCATGCCTTGAGTTGGCTGAAGATTCATTTCACCTGCTCTTCTCTAGACCAATGCACCTGGTTAGTTTGAAGACCACTGGATGGTGCACTTTTGGCTGAAGAGCACCTGAATAGCTTGACTCATGACGTTTTGCACAGCTCAGCAGAAATGGGAAGATGTCCAATGGTTTTGCTGTGCCTTAATGTCACTGCTACCTGTTTCACACATGGTCTTGCACTGTAATAAATAGAGCTCACGTTACAGAGTTGAGCTAGGTGTGGTGGAATAGCATGTGAGAATGCAAACGCACTTTTGCATATATACTATAGAATGTTTTGGGTTCTCATCATGATGAGGCTATGGGCAAAGGATGAAAACTGCCTCAGGTGACCTGAAGGGACAGAGGATGACCCCATAACCAAGGGGAGGGAGCCAACAGGCTGAAGGGAAGGTGAAGACAAAATGGGGTAGCAAGGTTTAGCTGGAAAAAGCAGATGCAAGACCTTAATAGAGTGGCTTACCAAGTCATGACTGGAGGGCTAGCTCTGGCAAGGTGCTGAAGGTGGCAGTGGTGAACAAATGGGACACTGTGAAGGATTTGCTAAGGCATATCTATTAAAATCCAAGCCTTCTTCAGGCCCTCCTGTATCAGAGATGGGAGCGAGGGCCTGCTCCTGCACTTTCACCCTCACTTACACCTGTCTGTGTTTGGGTCAGAACCTCTTGACCTCCATTTCCCCTTTGGAGGAGACCCAGTTTCATGTATCAGAATCTCCCCACTGTCGAGGAAGCTGGTCAGGTAGAGCCAGAGGTATCTAAGGCTTGGAGGGGCAGCAGAGCCTGGCCTGGCCCTGTTCCCCAAGGTGAGACAAGGAGCTATGGGGTGAAGCAGCTTCTGCTGCCAGAGGAGCTACACAGGGACCACTGAGACAATCAGTGCATCCTCAGTGTAGGTGACACCAACAAACTACGCTGCAACTCTGACTCCTGGCTGTGAGGCAGAGGTGTCAGGATCTTGGACCTTGCCCTTTGACTAGAAGACATTGTCCTCTCCTTCCTCCCAACCCCATGCTGGGAAGGCCCAAGGTCCATGACCAGAGCAAAGCTTGCAGAAAGGAACCCCATAGGGAATGGCTGAGGAGATGAGGAGAAGCAGCATCAATGCTGCTCTCATGACTCTGCAATGAGTCAGTGCCAAAGCCCAGATCCTACAAATGCCCTGGCCCATCTCCAGCCATGGACATGTCCCACGTGACACTGGGGGGATTTTGTACACCAAAGCCAAAGCACAAAATGAATATCACCTCCAGGCATGTTTGGCCCAGACTTTGGACACCCCAGCCTTCAAAACACCATTTACTACAGCACAAAGCAATTGGAAACAAAAGGATGCTACAAACCTAAGTGACCAGCCTTCTTTGACCAAGAGTAGTGCTGTGGTTTGAAGAGATAACTTCATTAAGCACCGAATACATTCTCTGCTTGTAAACAAGCAGCGCAGGAGAGGATGATGCTAGATGACACTAAAATGTGGTGGCTGAGCTGACAGCATCCAACTAATGTCACTGTTAAAGGCTGATCATGACTGGGCAAAGCTGTCCACATGCCCAACTGACATTGAATTGCAGTGTACACCACACAATTCAGGAAACTTCCACAGCTGCTCATAGAGAACAATATAT